AGAGGGTGTTTCAAGGTTCAATCTGTGAGTTAGCTGTGTCCTGATTAACATCAGCCCAGAGGGTGTTTCAAGGTTCAATCTGTGAGTTAGCTGTGCCCTGACTTAGATTAGCACAGAGGTTGTATCAGGATATTGATAAAATTCAACGGAAGGCCAAAAAACGGATCCGGAAATTATTTGAAAAACTAATCTTAACGTCCATACCTTTGTAAAACTTTCTCTTCTCTAGTCTTATCGCATCTGCGATTTTCCTCTGCATATGTCGCTGTACATTATCCACGGCATGAGACACTTCACGAGATTGTATTCCCAGTACAACAGACACGAAGCACTTCACAGGATGGATGGTATCAAGTTTTGACGATTGAGAGCTTTCCAATGCTTGCCCAAGTAAGATAGGACTGATTCCCCCGGACGGCCTCAGTGGTATTTGAGTTTCAGGGATTCCCACGCCGGCGACGTCAAAGGAAGCGTAAATTCGTTCTCCATTTTGTACCGGTCCAGCTACCTTGACTTTTACGATTCCAATGACACAAACTGTGTCGGTTCGTTCTATGGGGAAACAAGGAGAAAAATAAATGATGAGAAGAAAGAAAGAATTTAGAAAAAAGGAGGGGAAAAAAATGATGAGAAAAAGAAAGAAGGTAAATAGGAAAAACAGATGGATGAATGAATGAAGCACAAACGAATGTATATGAAAGAAAGAAAAATAAATGAATAAATGAGATATAGAGAAATAGAAAGTAACAAGAAAACAAGAAAACAAACAAATCCTTGAGTAGATATAATCGGTTTTAGGTCACCCATCCAAGTGCTAACTTTCCCCAAACGGGCTTGACACATATCTTCGATGCCCAAGTTTTTTCCACTGGGCCACGGTTTCAAGAAATTAGCACAACAATAGCCGTGAAAACAATGCACCCAATAGACTAGACTTTTTAACTATAACTTTTCAACCGATTCCGTGCGTGGCAGAGATGCAAGGGATTAGTCGATATGGTCTGGGTGCCGGCTGGTCTCTCCCCTGATGCTTCGGTTAGAACATTTTCTTGCGTAATTCGTACACCCAAGGGCAGAAGGATTTAATCGCCGTCAGGTCCGAAGTCCATACGACGCCTCAGCTCTGCGGATGTCTCGGGGGTATGGCAAAGTTGAGTCGATTGTATTTTAAAAAAATATTTTTTATTGGTGGATTTAGGTTCAAATCTCACCGCATCCAGATATTCTTATGTTTTGTTATTTCTTCGATTTACTAAGCTTTTAAAAAATTAACACAAATTGCAGAGGTTTAATTGTTATTTTTTAAGATTGAATCGCCGAATAACATGCAAATAAAGCTCTTTGTTATATATCTCACCAATGCCTTCTACCGGAACGTTTCCATGGAGATACGCAGAACGGCTGATGACTCCCGCCATTCTGGCTTCCCTCGCATTTGATGGCGTAAGACGAGAGATCTCAGTTTCCCCGGTGGTCTTGTTTTGAAAGAATCCCATGACGTCACCTTCTTCTAGATTGTGGTTTCTGTAGTAAGGGCCTTCAAGTTTCAGGTGATAAGCAATATCAGCATTAGGAGAAGAGATCATTTTCTGGACCTTTAGATGCTGGATCTGTGCGCGTTGTGCTTCAAGATAGTCGGTAAGAATAACTAGAAAAACGAAAATAATGATCGTAAATATCTGGGCCCGGTCGTAATCGAAAAACCAGAGGACCGCAAAAACCCTCGGAGCTGTCAGAAAGAGAACCAACCAACTCAGCTCATATGGAGAGACTGGGATGTAACCCAAGATCTCAGGGGTGAGAGGCAAGTGTTTTCCACCATGCCCTCCATTCCCCTGTAAGTTAGTTATTATAATTTTATAGCCATCATATGTTAGCAATCGAGTACAATTCTCATTTCTCAATCCATCGTTTCCCCCTTCTTGTCCAGTGCGCAAGCATGCTGTTACACTAATGGTAATCATAGACAGCCTTACCGTCGTTACTATTGACAGACTGTGCATATCCAGCATTGCCATTAGCTAAAAACGATAAAGAACATATAATATTTAAAAACATATTATGGCCAAAAAAGCTGAAAGGGTACGTGGGTATGCTTTACTTCGCATTCATTCCAGTACTTGTGTAAAGGAATTTAAGGAGAGTAGCACAAACGTAACCTGACAATGTATTTATTTGATGAAATATATCACTGCGTTATAGTCTCCGGCGGAGAAGACATGCAACAGTGCTACTGGAGTAAAAATGAGACATTCAAAAAGACTACGCCCTAAGTACTTACCCGAGAGTGGAGACGCTGCAGGTCCCGACTGAATAGAGAATGGCGATTGGACTGCTCCGTAACTACCAACACCTATAAGAATACGACCAAACAAGTTATACTTAATTGCCATTCCGAGTTTGAGGAAAAATCTGAGTCGAGTTGGTATTGCAATTGGGGGCTGTTTTAAGGTGACTACTTTTGGAAATTGATTTAAGCTTTTTTTAAAACTTCGATTTTCCGAATTGAAATTTAATGCTGATTCCAAATCTGGAAAGAAAAATAGGGTGTCCCGAGCTTGTTTTTAAGATAATCAGCATTTAATAGAAGCCTACGCACGAGCTTTTGGAGTAAAAATTGCGCCACCGGAAGTGATAAGAAAAAAATTAAGATTCATAAGATAATAGTTATTTGCAGACT